GGCCTCCACTGCCGTGGGGTTGGTGTTCGCCGCACCCATGCCTCTCAACTGAAATAGAAACAGTGGTTGGTAAAATACCTAAAAAAAGACTCGATTAGGTGGGCATTAAAGGTGCGGGGTATAACTTAACCACTGTGACAACAGGTCTAATATTTATTGTTTTTTTACCATTACCGGGTCACCCAGTGAAATCAAAGAAGTGAAACAAAACATAGTTTATCAGAGTGAGGTAATTAAAGTCTATTATAACACAAAAGAGGTGAGTGTGAGTGGGTAACACTTAATATATATAAAAAAGACCAATGTCTTCATTACGAGTAAACCATGAATGTTTATTGTTTAAGGATAGAAAAAATGCCGTCAAAGTACTTATATACACAACCCAGATATGTAGTAAGCTACACATTCGGGCGAGACGTATTAAAACAATCAAATTAAAATAAATTTCAAGGCTAGATACAATACCAGGACAAAGGGCTTTGCGTGATAGTCTATGTGCATATTGCTCTTAATGTTTACCTGCATAAAAAAAGAAAGAAAGAAAGAAAAGAATCGCCCGTGTTTTATTTGAGTTGCATCAAAATGTGTGACTGATGTTAGAATGCTTACCTGCGAGAAGAAGTTTTCGACGCAGTCCTGATTGAGCCGGGAGGTCAGTAGGTAGCTGAGCCCGTGATGCCGCTGCACAGCGCTGTACAGGCCGCGCAGAGCGGTGGAGGACATCACGAAGCCCTTCTGAAAGGGCAGCATCGAGTTGCTGCCGACCACGCGCGCGTCTCGCATCACCTTCGTGAACTTGAGGAGGCAGGAGTACTGGTCCTCGATGGTATGGGCCAGCCCAAACGCCGACCGGTGTAGTTTGCCGTCCGACACGTGGCGGGAGTTGAACGTGTCGAAGGCTTGGTCGACGAGGGCGATGAACTCCGCCTCCTTCCGGTACCGGTCACCGAAGATGTGCGAGACCGCCTTGGCCACGCGCTCACTGAGGAGCTGGGCGGCCAGGTACACGCGCTGGCATTCCTGACCCCGCACCTGCGACACACGGGGAACCAAAGGAGTAATAAATAATGACGTTGGTTGACTTTTTGTTGGTCAACATTCAGGCTCACTGAAGGGTCAAATTTCGTAAATTTTTAACTTGTTTCCAATGACGAGATAAATTTTTGACTACAGTTAACACACACTATAATGTGCTACACTATCACAGCTTTGCATCAAATGTAAAAAGACATTGCTTTTCAGCGTCACGGAATTAATCATCCAAGTTGATGGCACATATCATTCATAATGCTGCTGGTTATGGTAATTAACATTGATAACTTGCTCACCGTGATGTGCTTCCACTTCAGAAAGTGGCATAGCCGAAACTCAGAGTTATCTTTCTCCAGAAGGTTGCAAAAGACCTTCTTGTCGATGACAGGGCCGCCTGGCAGCTGGAGGCCTTGCCGGAGAATGTGATTGCGGAGAAGCTTTAGGAGGTGTGGCACGTCCGCGAAGGTGAAGATTTTTCTGCAGAGTGAAACGGAACGAAGTTGCCGTCAGCTAGCATTTACACGGAAATTAAGCTACAATTTTAGTGGTTTTCGAAAGGCTGAATGCCGGTACCAAGGCCATCAAGACAATCGTTGCCAGCGGCATGACATACATGACATATTTGGTTTCAATGCAACATGAATGAAGAGTTGCTGTGGCTACATAAACTTGCTACACAACATCGAAATATAAGCTTATTTATGGTCTCCCTAGTAGTGTCCGAAGTTAAAAACCGATGAATAAGAAAGTTAGAAAAGTTGACTTACCGGCTGGGGTCGCACGGATGGGCAAAGAACCCGTCCTCCGGGTCGATGCCCAGTCCGTCAGCGGCCTTCGGCGACCACAGCAGCTTCCGGTTGGCCGGCCCCAGGTCGCACACCATGGCGACGACCACGTATCCGGCAGACTCCACGGCGGCGATGATGCGGTGGAGAAGGTCCTTGGTGACGTCCTTGTTGTAGTCGAAGAAGACGGGCTGCTTCCAACGACTGCACAAGGAGCGGACCATCACCACCTGCATCTTGTCGTTGGGGCCGTAGACCGCGTCGTCCGTGGAGTCGTACGCCACGCGGGGATCGATGGTGATCTCGTCGAAGGACATGACGAGCAGCCTCTCATGCGACGTCATGGTGTCTGCGGACGAGCGCATGATCTGCAGAGCCATGTCCAGGATCCCCGGTGACGTCCGGAAGCCTCGAGTCCAGCGGCGGAGGGTGGAGAGTCCGGGCAGCGGGAACTGGAACTTGTCCTTGAGGAGCTGGTAGCACTTCCTCGAGCAGCAGCGGATCACCAGCGCGCGGACGATGTCCTGCTGCTCCCAGTTCACGCGCCGCCCGGTCCGCAGGGTGGTGAGCTGGCGGTCGGAGAAAATCCCACCAAGCGCGCTCTTCAGCTGGGTGACGGCGTCCTCCGCGTCGCTTAGCTGTGTGCGCAGCCGCTTCTCTTCGGCCCTCCAGCGGCGCTCCTCGGCGCGGTGTCGCCGACGCTCGCGGCGCAGTTCGGCCGTCAGCTCGCGCTTCTCTGCCTTCAGTGAGGCGCAGCGCCGCTGGCTGATGGTGAGATCCCCCTTCCACAGGCGGCAGTGGAGAGGCGTCCTCACGGACGGCGGCCTGTGAAAATAATCGTAGGTGGTAAAGGTGTGTTGCTGTGCAGTAGAAATGGTCGATATCGAAAGCAGATTTAAATCCAAAGAGCTTTCGATTGTTACCATTTCTGTACATTTGTTATTTCACAGAACAGTATGACACAAGTGCAGATCTGCACGGTGTCCAAGAATTACCCGAATATCTTATCCTTAGCTTATGAAAGATGGCTAAGCCGATATGCACAGTGAACTTACCGATCATATCCGGGCCGCCGAGAAGACGGCGTGTGACCACTGGCGTTGGACCTGGCGGCGAAAAAGATAAGAGGGATCAATCACAACGGCTGGCAGTTGGCAAAAGCAAAATAAATGCAAGATGACAAAGCCTTTCACTTCGACAAGGGCACGAAAATTCCGGCGCGCACAGTCTGGTACGTCTTAACAGTACCATTTGGTCATATGGTACATATGAGGTAAAAATTGGTGTAAAAAGTTGGTGCATATGGTTTAAACTTACGTCGCAGACGTAGTGCGGCAGGCAGCAGTTGCCGTGGTTGAGGTAGTCCCAGACAGTCCAAGGCCTCGCCTCGGAACACGCCTATAAAAGACAAGAGTTAAGTGCATTTCAATGATATTGCAAACGCAAATGGTAAATAAAGCCATTTCGACGCCATGTACTTAACGGTAATCCGACTGTCATTTGGTTGCGCTAAAAGCAGTATCCACATTCTGACAAAGAAGTTAAACCAAGCCAAGAGAGGAAATGTGATCGCATGGTACGTACCGAATTCACTTAATACCGTGCGTACTTAATAGATATACTGTAAAATACACATAAATGCTGAAAAAATGAACCTTATTCACATCGCTTTACAACTAACCTATGTGGTCGGATCGGAGTTGCGACATTCAGGTCCCCGCACTCTGCGGCAACGGACGGCGTGCCGCACGTAGAGACGCTGGCGGGCGCCTCGGACGGAGCGGCCCTGGCGGGCGTAGAGACGCTGGCGGGCGCCTCGGACGGAGCGGCCCTGGTGGGCGCCTCGGACGGAGCGGCCCTGGCGGGCGCCGCGGGCGTAGAGGACCAGGAGTAGGCCAAGGTCTCCGGGTGACTGAGGAGACGAACAGGAGTGGATTGAACATGGGACTGCATGGCAATGAACAGCATGGAACTGCGCCAAGGTCAGTAAAGCACAAGACGGACGCATACTGCTGATGCATGATGACCGATACATAAACACAATGCCCTGAAAAGAAACCAACCAGATATTTTGAAAAGTTTACACATTGTCTTAGTGCGTAAGCTGTTAGAGTCTCAGACCAAAAAGCTGTCAGAGTCTCAGACACAGGCCGCGAGCTACAAATCCACTGGAGGGGAGGGGAGGGAGGGAGGGAGGGAGGGAGGGAGGGGGAGGAGAAGCGGCCGCTGCGGAACAGCCGGACGTCCCAATCGACTTCGCCAGCGCCAGAAGCGCGATCGGGCGTCGGGTGGGGACGATGGTCGACGCGAGAACAGGAGCGTCCCACCCCCACCCGGCGCCCACACCGGGCCACAACGACCTGTCCCGCTGGGAGGCGTGTACCCTCTCCCAGCTGCGGACGGGCGCGTCGCCGCTCACGCGGGACGTCGCCCACCGCCTAGGCTTGGCGGTGAACGCGGCCTGCCCTGCGTGCGGCGAGCCGGACAGCGCGGCCCACCTGTTGACCGACTGTCCGGCCTATGAAGCTGCGCGACGCCGCCGCTGGGGACTCGACCCGAGCCTGGGGGACGTCCTCGGCGGACCGGCGACGTTGGTGATAGAATTCATCCGGGCTGTCCGGCGAGTCGACCCTCCGATCGACCCTCCGAGAGAGAGAGAGAGAGAGAGAGAGAGAGAGAGAGAGAGAGAGAGAGAGAGAGAGAGAGAGAGAGACTGACAGAGAGAGAGAGAGAGAGAGAGAGAGAGAGAGAGAGAGAGAGAGAGAGAGAGAGAGAGAGAAAGAGAGAGAGAGAGAGAAAGAGAGAGAAAGAGAGAGAAAGAGAGAGAAAGAGAGAGAAAGAGAGAGAAAGAGAGAGAGAAAGAGAGAGAGAAAGAGAGAGAGAAAGAGAGAGAGAGAGAGAGAGAGAGAGAGAGAGAGAGAGAGAGAGAGAGAGAGAGAGAGAGAGAGAGAGAGAGAGAGAGAGAGAGAGAGAGACTCGTCGCATCTAATAAACTGGCCGCTGGAAGATACTTTCATCACCTGCAGACAATTAATACAAACGGCACATGACATCCAGATAATGAACTGCACAAGTATCACCCTACAGCTGAGTTATGTAGGCACAAAGTTGCATTGCAATAGGTACACTCAATGGAATAGAGCAATCCAGTTTCAGAAAAAAATCATATAAATGGGTCCAGAAAGATAATGATGGAGAAATGATTCAACAAAGAAACAAGTTGAGAACACAAGAAGCAGGTTCCCTAAAAATAATTGTATCAGTGTTATCGGTGAAGTTGTCTGACACACAATGACAAAAATAACAAAAAGACAGAAAGTGAGTGTATGATTACTCTAAATTTACCTGGACAAAACTAATCAGTAATAGCTCACCTCCGTGACTCTCCGCCCTGCGTGGCTACATCAGGCGAGGTGCCATGCAGAAGGGCGCTGGTCGGCACCGCAGACAAAGCGGCGCTGGCGGGGACCGCAGACGAAGCGGCGCTGGCGGGGGCCGCAGACGAAGAGGCGCTGGCGGGCGTAGAGGACCAGGAGTAGGCCAAGGTCTCCGGGTGACTGAGGAGACGAACAGGAGTGGATTGAACATGGGACTGCATGGCAATGAACAGCATGGAACTGCGCCTAGGTCAGTGGAGCACAAGATGGACGCACACTGCTGATGCATGATGACCAATAGATAAACACAATCCCCTGAAAAGAAACCAACCAGATTTAGGAAGGGTGTACACATTGTCTAAGCGCGTGTATGTAACACACGCCACTGGTCCAGCTGTGACCAGCTGCTGTATTACTTTTTACTTTTTGGGACCTCCGCTGTTCCTACGACGTCATTTGGAAGCAATACCTAATTTGGCATGCTTAAAGTGCGGCAGATGTTGCGCGCAATGCAGCATATATCACCAGGTGTTACCAAACGTTTTAGTAAAATATTTTAAAATCGTCAGATCTGCGCTGACGTCACACATTCAGAGGGGGACATTCAAAAACATTAGCCCTTCTGAATCCAAGTGCTGCAACTTTGAGATCAAATATTTTCGATTTGAAGCATTTTTCGATGTTGTGAGTACCCAAACCGGTAATTGCACGCCAGGGACCCCAATCTTGCTATCTCAACTGAAAACTAATGCTAAGGTGGGATGGTCACTTAAAGGAGAGGGCTGCATAACATATTAGCAGCCGCTGGAAATTATCTTCATATGCAAACCATTCAACATACAAACAAAACATGATATTTTAATGAAATACACTTCTTATTAGCCTAGAGCTAGGCACAAAGTTGCATTTTTGTACATCCCATGGCATATAGCAATTCTATCCATGAAAAAGTACATAGTTTGGTTTGTAAAGAGACTAAGGGATACAGATTCAACAAAGAAACAAGGTGAGAAGTGAGAACAAATACAAATGGGTCCCCTGGACCCTCATCCCTGAAAATATTATGTTGATTGGTGAGGCGACTCTGATGATGTGGCATGAACATGATATTTCTGAATTTACCTGGACAAAACTAATCAGTAATAGCTCACCTCCACTCTCCGCCCTGCGTGGCTACATCAGGCGAGGTACCATGCAGAAGGGCGCTGGTCGGCACCGCAGACGAAGCGGCGCTGGCGGGGACCGCAGACGAAGCGGCGCTGGTCGGCACCGCAGACGAAGCGGCGCTGGCGGGGACCGCAGACGAAGCGGCGCTGGCGGGGGCCGCAGACGAAGCGGCGCTGGTCGGCACCGCAGACGAAGCGGCGCTGGTCGGCACCGCAGACGAAGCGGCGCTGGTCGGCACCGCAGACGAAGCGGCGCTGGCGGGGACCGCAGACGAAGCGGCGCTGGCGGGGGCCGCAGACGAAGCGGCGCTGGTCGGCACCGCAGACGAAGCGGCGCTGGCGGGGGCCGCAGACGAAGCGGCGCTGGCGGGGGCCGCAGACGAAGCGGCGCTGGTCGGCACCGCAGACGAAGCGGCGCTGGCGGGCGTAGAGGACCAGGAGTAGGTCAAGGTCTCCGGGTGACTGAGGAGACGAACAGGAGTGGATTGAACATGTGATTTAATGGTTGTGAACAGCATTGAAATGTACCCATTTCAGAGCAGAAACGCATACTAATTGGTGCGTGATGATGTTTGTAATGTGATGGTGTGTGGAACGGTGATATGATGATGTGCTGAGCATATACCCGTTGGTCATTAGAGGGTAGTGATTGATTAGGATATTGCAATCCCTGTGAAAGGAGGAAAATGGATTAAAACATATTTGCAAATGTACACAAAATTACCCTCCCACCTTCAAAAAAGTTAATGAATTGGCATGACAGTGATGTCGCTCGGTTCAGAAAAAGCGAAAAAGAATATCTACCAAATTTCACTGAAAAATATTCACCGGTTTTCAAGATATTAGACTTTTACTTTTGTTTACTTTTTGGGATCTCCGCTGTTCCTAGCGACTTTATTTGGAAGCAATAGTTTGGCAGCTGAAAGTGCGGCACTTGCTGCGCGCAAAGCAGCATATACCACCGCATGCTATCAAACGTTTTAGTCAAAACATTTAAAAATCGTTAGATCTGCGCGCTGACGTCACACATTCAGAGGGGTATCAAATGCATTAGCCCCTCTGAATCCAAAGTGCTGCAACTTTGAAATTAGATATTTCGATTTGAGGCATTTCTCGATGTTGTGAGTGCTCAAACCAGTAATTGTGAGCCAGGGACCCCATTTTGGCTATCTCAACTCAAATCTAATGTTAAGGTGGGAGGGTCCCTTTAACAAAGATGTCAAAGGTGAAGGTCTCGAAATAAATAACGAGTGAGTATGAAATGTCATAATTCTTTCATTCAACGTCATTTATTAAGTTGTCTAAATAAATATCAATGGATAATGAAATACATTTCATACTCATTTGTTATTTATTTGATGTCTTCCATGTCTTGTACTAATTGAGTTCAGTTAGTTCCAGCTTCCAACAAGGACTCTGCAGGGGTCAGCCTGTCGCTCGTTTGTTTACAGCCCTATCCTGATTTGCAATATTTTTGACCACACTTTCATTAGGGTACTGGGTAGCATAGTATGTCTGAAAGGTGGCCAAAAAGATGGCAAATCAGGATAGGGCTGTAAAACAAGTGAGCAACAGGGTGACCCCTGCATGTGCAGAAGTGAAAGGATTTAGATTACTTCCAGATATGTGGAAAGGACCTTACTGACTAGTGACTGGGTAAGATACATAACCATTCCATAAGGGTACCTACTGGGTAGCATAGTATGTCTGAAAGGGGGGGCCAAAAAGATCAGATGGCAAAGCATAGAAATGTGTCCCAAATAAAGAAATCAACAATTGACAGTGAAAGGCAAAGCTCTATGATATAAACACTATCAATGGCAAACATTGGCAGCACTACCAAGTGCTTATCAGTTGCTGGTAATCCTCACCAGACAATGCTGACATGCAGAGCATTTTCAGATCCGGAATGGCGCTGGCTCTCCTGGAAGAAAACAAAATAGTCATTAATTGATGTTGAAAGAAAGCAAAGTAATCATTAGGTATTAGGTAATTATTAGGTACGTAATAGTTATCATTTGGCCGGACGGCAACCATCATAAGGATTATAAGGAGGCACATTTATTTTTTATAAATTTAGTCCGAACCTTTTGAATGGAAGGATTCTCAAGGACAGAGCCACCGCTAAGCAGAGCTCGTTGCGATGGCTCTGCCCTCTACCCTCCGATCGTGCAATTCCTGGTGCATGGCAGAATTTAGAGTCAGAAGTTTAACTACGCACATAGCCGCGCACGGCCGGTCCCCTCACTGACTTCGCCTGGCTACGGCCTGCCACCAACCGCAACCATACCCGCCAGGAGGCTCATAAACATCGAGCGCCCGTCGCGCTTCGAACCCGGACCGTCATACCGGGACACGAGCTCTCACCTCGCGGAGTCCAACGCTCTACCGACTGAGCTACAGGACCAGCTTTATTTATGAGTTTGTTTAGGTCAGGTTTGGTTTGGTTTGGTTTGGTTTTGTTTGATTTGATTTGGTTTGGTAACTGGTTAGGCTAGAAACTACTAGGAGTATCTCCAAGTAGCGCGGACCCAAAATGCAGAGTGAGATATACCTAGTGGCTACAGTTTTTGCGCACTCTCCGTAGAAGCCTGCCCAAACGGTCTGAGGAATATTCCCTGGGATTCTCTTAGCAGACATCACCCGAGCTGCCATATCCAGTTAGGTAGGTTGGTATTTGTAGGTTGGTAGGTTAGGTTGTAGGTTGGTAGGTTAGGTTGTAGGTTGGTAGGTTGTAGGTTGTAGGTAAGGTAAGGTCAGGTTAGATATTTTGTTATATATTTAACCATGAAAGACAATTGTTGCGCAAGTGAGACATAGATATGGCAGCTCGGGTGACGTCTGCAAAGAGTACCTGATCCCCGATGAAAAAACGAAACCGCCCATCCGAACGCAGCATGTGTCTGCCCCAACCAGATCTTGTCGAACCCTGCCACGTTTTGCAGACTGGATCGCTCTCCCAAAAATAGCAGAATCGTTGTCATTTTTAGCACATTGACAAAATAGCATATGATAAAAATGACTGATTGACCAAACCTCCCAGACTGATACAAATTCCTGTGATCTGCACAGCACAAGAGTAAATTCACACTGCAAACATCAATGGAGAGCCCAGCTATGAGCCAACACATCAGTCAAGTAATCTCACCTGAACAATTTTCATCTGCGACCTGCCATAGGAAATACACTTATGACACAGGTATCGTCCAGCAAGCTTGCCAGGGTCACCCATTCCCAGGGCCTGAATGACGACTTCGAAACGTACTTGGAACCAATCTTGTTCAATTTTGGCACTTCCGACTCACTTGAAATCATGCGTGCCCCCCATATGCACAACGCCGTCTTCTGCCGTCAATTCATCTTGAAATTTAGAAGCCAAGGCGTGCAAGCGCTCAAATCTCGGGCAACATGGCGTCCAAATGGCGTCGGCGACGGAAGTGGCGCACGTCGCCATTCTAATATACGGTTTATAACAAAAACGAGATAGTTTTCCGACAAATTTAGCCATTTTCCGTAAAACATACAGAGGTAATGAGGTATATCAATCGAAAGTCAATACGCTAATCTATCTCAATCAACAACTTGTAGAGGCCAGCTCCCTCCCATTTTTCAACTACCTCTTTACCATAGTGCCTTTTTTCATTCAGACATTGAAGCCTTTAGGGGCGAATTTCGCCTTTTTCCGTAGAACCTTAAGCTTAATGAAAATTAACATCTAACAGACAATTAAATACTGGTGCTAATTTTAATTTTTATAGAGGCCAGCTCACTCTAGATTTTTTATAGGAACGCTCTGTCTAAGGGCCATCACTTCTTATCAAGCACAAAATGGCACTTTGAAAAGCGATAATTTAATGTTTTTCTGTTGTTTTCCAAAAAGTTCATATCAAGAGAATGCAAAAATCAATTTCATTTCTAAAAACATCAGAATTAAGTAGGTTCACTGCCTAGATACTGAGATATCCGAGGCTTCCTGAAGGCATGATGTCATACCGTGAAATTACAAATTTCTTGGCAAGAACGAATTTTAATGAGGATAACTAAAATATGTCTTTATTAAATCGCGAAACATAAGTAATAGCAAAGTATTAGGAAAATCTGTAAAGTAGTTACGTAGCAAGTATCTTGCAAATCATGCTAGCACTAGTTGTCAAGACCTGAACCCGTTGCCTTCATGTTGAAGGAATTTTTCGGTGTTACCTAGTGTTTTTATATACCTTGAGCCCTCAGGTCTTTGGGTAATTTCTGGGGGGCCTTGGTAACAACTGGATTTCCATTACGTCATGGGTGATGATGTCACACCACGGGTGACGTTTCACTGCTGCTGCTGCTGTCCACGGAGGGCAGCGTTTGTGAGTGGAAAACAGTAGCAACATTGTAAATGAAGGCAGTATTGGCGCTTATGCTACATATGAAATTTATAACAACATATTGATATTGGTGAATGTTTATTTTTGTTACTTTTCATAAACCCTCCATTTCAGAGGGTCTGCATGCAAAATTTCTGTTATTTTTTAGAGTCAAGCTATTGTACTAAGGGATTTATTTTGGCAATTTAGTCATTTGTTAGGTTATAAGGCTGCAGAAACTTTTAGTTGAGGTTGGTATCCATTATCCAGTTGCAGCTATAATCGTGTCATATTTTGTATCATTTTCTGAACATGTAAACACCTACCTATATGAATTCAAATTTTGTGATTGTAGAAAAGCAGTTACCCTCACATTGCAGCGGGGATTAGAACAATTAACCACACTTGTTATACAAAAAGCCTGTTTGCCATCAATTTTGGGAATCCAAATTGGGTATTGGTAAGGTAGATGTAGCACAAGCTGCCCGATGCACGAGAATGGGTCTTTCTAACCAAACCTTACCTAACCTGACCTACAACCTACAGCCTTAAACCTAAAATTTACAACCTACGACCTAGTCCTACGGTATGGCATATCACAACAGCTTGTGCTACGTCTGCTAGTGCTACCATGACCCAACTTTGTGCCAATTCATACCAACTTGGGATGACAGTCACTGCAGATGACAGATGTGTGCTGACCATGCAGGTCTTTGTTACAATTGCAATTCTATTGTGTTACAGGTTCGGCGTTCTACAGCTGCGACCCGCCATGGCTGGGCCACCGCAGCGGCATCACCTTCAGGGTGGACCTGCCCGTGGCCACCCGCCGGTCGGACCCGCCTGCAGTCCGCAGGGAAGCTGCCCTGCGAGCCATTGCAGAGCTCCCGCACCCGGACGTCACTATCTGGTCGGACGGCTCGGCTCGCGGCGGACGGAACAGGGCGGCGCAGGCGCTGATCCAGTTCCACCACCTCAACAGAGAAGAGACCGTGCGCGCTCCTGCAGGGGCGGTCTGCTCCAGCCTAAGAGCAGAACTGACCGCCATGCGCGAGGCGTTCGCGGCTGTGGCCGGCCTGGAGGACGGGGAGTTGGCATCGACCAAGTCGGTCCGCCTCCTCACCGACTCAAGGTCTGGGCTCCAACTACTTGGCCGCGGCCCAGCTAACCAGACCATGGCCCTGGCCGCCGAGTGTGGAGGCTGCTGAGTGCTGAGCACCCTCACCGAGAACGGCACCGAGACGGTGCTCCAGTGGGTGCCAGGCCATGCCGGGCTGGACGGCAACGAAACCGCCGACCTCCTGGCTGGCGAGGCCACGGCGGGCGACCAAGACAGCGCACCGATCGACCTGTCGAGTGCGCGGGCCGCCGTCACGCGCCATGTCCGGGAGCTGTCGCGACAGAGGGCAACCGCTGCCCACCCGCACCCGGACCCCACGCCTGGCCACGACTCCCTGGCGCGCTGGGGTCGGTGACGCTGTCCCAGCTGAGGACCGGCACATCACCGCTGACCCGTGACACGCTCCACAAGATTGGCCCGGAAGCCGACGACGAATGCCCCGCGTGCGGGGAGCCCGACCGCGCGGCGCACCTACTGACCGATTGTCCGGCCTATGAGGCGGCCCGCCGCCGCCGCTGGGGTGTCGACCCTCGCCTGGTCGACGTCCTCGGCGGCCCGGCGACGAAGGTCGTCACCTTCATCGAGGATGTTGGGCGGACCGAGCCGCCGCTCGACCCGCCTGCGCCGCCGCCCCCCTGAGCGGGTTGGCAATGGGATGCAGAAGAAGAAGAAGCAACTGCCAGCGCGCCACGGCGGCGAAGCCGAGTTCCGCCGCTGGACCGCCCGCGCAATGGCCAGCACAGACAAGAGACAACCGAATCACAACACCTACAATTACGTTATTATGGTATTGACATTGTTACAATTAACCCTGCTCTTTCGAGCGTGGATGCACGCTGAAATTGTCGCATAATTCCATGCAGCTTCCACCCTTCTGCAATACAAAGTTTGAATACAAAGTAGTCTTACAATAGGTTTAGAACTTATGTGCAGATTGTCGATGCTGGTTGACTTGATGATTGGAATTGTGTTTATCTGTTTATCTGTTTTGACTTAAATATGGCCATGTACTATGGCCTACCTTGGGAAGTGTCTCTGATTTCAACAAAACATTTTTCATCAGGATACGCTGCAGGGTACATAGTACATACGTAGTGAAAATTTGAGCATGTATGGGTGCGCATGTGGAGATGTAGACTGCGAATGAGACGGACTACGACGGTTTTTGAACCAATTAAATCTGATTGACAACATAATGTAGGATTAAAAACTGACTGTCAGAAGAATATTCACAGAATATTCACTTCACCCAGTACAACGAAAAGGGAAAGTCAGGAAACAGGCAGGGTACATCTCGAAGATCAATCAAATTGCAGGTGCCGATTGGTTATGGATCATGTAGCTCAATGTACTGCCTTGTGCTGCTTTATTGATTGAAATTGCTTCCAGCTTGTATTGAAAGAAGTCATTATGGAAGAATTAAAAAGGTTCTTGAAAAATTTAAATACTTTGAATTGATATTTATGCAGAATTATACACCCGTATCATTCTTTACATGTCAATATTTGTATATTCTAGCATAAAGAAAATAGTGGCCTCAAGTTTCTAGAAATATCTGATTTTACTCTCAGAGCCACTGCAGATCCCTAAAAAGTTAGGAGCCGTCTTCATTATTGAATGTATAAACCCAAATAAATTATCACTGCTCAAAAGTGGAAGAAATGACAAATGAAATAAAGTTTTCCTACAGCGTTGCAATCCAGATTTCAAGATAGTGATGGGCGCACTAGAAAGCAAGTAAAAGTACTCCACAAGGCAAAAGTAAGGAACAAGAATATCCTTATACTGTTTCAGAATTCGGTAACAAACATTTTTTGTGTGTTTTAAATACCCGAACAAATCGATTCCAGAATCAGTCTTGATAATATTATATGGTTTTTGTATGGTGTTGGTGGTACTTGAATGACCAAAGTCAGTACATGTCCATCACCTTTCGATATTTCCGTGGTGCTCGTTCCCATTTCATAGCTGCTCACGGTGTTTTCTGCTGACGTCATATGGTGCTGCTCCACTAGCGCCACCATACGGCGTCAGCTGGCGAATTATCCAGTTAATACCAGAGCCCTTTCTGGGTAATCTCAACACTGAATGGTGGGTGATGCTTGTATTTCGGTGATTTTTGGTTTTTAGAAGTTTAAACACGATTAAACACGATGCTTGGCCTTAGGTCGGGTGAGTCATGATATGCCAATTCTAAGTTTAGGGATCATCAATTTTCTGCTGATTTGATATTTAAATCAGCTTTTTTATATTTATATGATTTTGTAATGCTGAGGCGATGGTCCCTAAGAATTTGTGATAACTGAGAAGCATTATTTTGCCCATGATGCCTTAACCAGGTCCAGTGGTAACTGGTAACTGGCAGGTACGGCCAGCTACTGCAATGTTAAGTGAGGTGCCAGTAGTGGTTATAAGCTTTGCATCTGTATCTTAGGAGCTATCTATGATACCACCATGAAACTTGGAATGTAGCTTACATGTGCCATCCTTCTTGCAGCTCATATTTTGCTGGCTTCTCTCAATCACTCATCAATGGGTCTGTTCCCGTCGCTCCTCCCAAAAAATCTCGGATGAGGTTGGATTAGCTTGGAGGAGAGCCGTTTCAGAGGAGCCACGGGAACATTTTCGCGAGGAAATCAGCTGTTTGCGGGCTGTAACGGTCGGCGATTTATGGCGCGCAAACATAAATCAAGAGATAACAATCGCTTTCTAATAAAATAACCTTAGATTAATATCAAACATTACTATTTAAAGATATCCAATCGTCATCAGTCACTAAAATCATTTCCACTTCCCTCAAA